CTCTCTCTCTCTCTCTCTCTCTCTCTCTCTCTCTCTCTCTCTCTCTCTCTCTCTCGCACTCACACCCTCTCCGTTATACATGTATACACGTCTAGATAACTTCTAATAGGATTTTGACCTAACATTATATCAAACATCTAAATATTTAAACATTTATAGCAAGTTTTGCCTCCAAATGCCGGTCCGATTCAGGTGTGCTCTTGTGGTCTAATTTTGACAATTCATGTGAAATTCGTCGTCGAGTTTGCACTTTATTTTATCAATAATTGCTAAACTAATCTGAAATATTTAGAGCCTTAGGGTTTTGTTGCAAATAATATTCACGCCGAAGGGAAAGGGCTGGTCATAAACGGCAGAATAGGACCATTGAAATACACATATCAAAGACGCGCTCGTCATTGATATCCTTTGAAAGATAATAAACTTCTTAGAAATAATTCACAATTTTGTGATCTAATCGACAAATATTTTTCATACGAAAAATATTAGACAAACTTAAAAGTTGGTTGAGTTTAGACGACGGAGTGATCTCTCGTGTATATCATATGCATTATATAGTATTAATAGCAGTATTGTATTGTATAACATGTAATACATTCAAACACATCACACAAGATGATTAAAAGAAATGTGCAAACACTGGTAATAATTCTTAGAAAATCGAAAATATTTATTAATTAAGATTAAAGACTACAATAAATCATTAAATTGAAAATTGATTCAATAATTGAAAAAAATTCAAAACAAAATTCTGTTGATTTTAAACGTGAGTTTAGTTTAATTAATTGCGCCAATTATCGGACTCTCTTTCCGGGCCTCGCGAGGGATTGGCGGCAGGTTTCCGGTCGTCGGGTCGACGCCACGAATCTTTGTTGCCTCTGCTGTCGGCATTGGACGGCGCAGAACCGCCCTTATTGTCCCTCCAGTTGTCGCCATCACGAGGCGGACCCCTATCGCCTCTATCGCTTCTCTCGCCGCCGCGGTTCTGCGAAAAGGGTGGTCTGCCCTGCGGTCGGTCTCTACGCCAATCATCGTTTCCATCTCTGTCTCCGCGAGGCGGCATTGGAGGTCCTCTTCGGTCGGGATCGCGTCGTTCATCAAATCTTCGCTCATTGCGATCGAATGGGCGATCATTACGGTTACGATCCGGAAAGCTTCGGTCACCTCTACGATCACCATCTCTTCGATCATCATCTCTACGATCGCCTACTCTACGCTCACCATCTCTGCGATCATCAACTCTACGCTCACCATCTCTGCGATCATCAACTCTACGCTCGCCATCTCTGCGTTCACCACCGCGTCCTCCGCGCCAATCCTTTTCCTCTTCAGGACGAGTGTTACGATTGGTTCGCTTATCAGACTTCACTTCATGCCATTCTTCCTCTCCGTCGGCGCGCAACTGAGGCTTTCGGTCTGATTCACGATTTCTATCATTCTTGTCAGCATTGGGTTCGGGCGCTCTCTCTCCTCGACGCCAATCATTCTCCACATCAGCTCTGGAAGGAGGCGGAGGTCTTCGCTCCTGATTTCTATCGCCTTTGTTTTGAAAGTCCTCGTCATCTGCGGGACCTCTGGTGGGGCCGTCAGCTGGAATGGGGGGTCGGTTGGGGTTGGGTCGGCGCCAATTAGTCTCTCTGTCGGGCTCTCTCTCGCGTTCTCTCTCTTCGCGGGGTTGTCTTTCTTCGGGGTCGACATCTCTTTGCCGTTTCTGTCTGTCATCGGAGTCTCTTTCCATTTGTTTCATCTTCTCTTCGATCTCGAGTTCTCTGAGTCGTTGTTTCTCTTGTTGTTCCTTATATTTGGCGGCCTTTTCCTCTTCAATCTTTCGCTGTTCTTCGTCTCTGATTCTCTTCTCTTCGGCTTCTTTGGCTGCGATGTACTTCTCTTTCCTCTCCTGTTTTCGTTTCACTTTTCTGTCGGCCAAACGGCGTTTGCGTTCAATTGCGAGCACGTCTTCAAATTTGGCCAATTTTTCCACGAAAACTGAATGCCTTTCGGTTACAATTTTCTTCGAGAAGATCTCTTTGTCGTCCATAACTCTGAGAAAACGACTCTTGATCTCGAGGGCCAAACGACGCTCTTCTTTAATGTCTTTGATGCGCTCGTCTTCCATCTGTTCCCAGAGTTCGCTGTCTTTCTCTTTCCATTCAACTAAAGACTTCTCGAGAAGCGGTATCTCTTCGAGTCGTTTGGCCCGTTCCAAGTGATCCACTTTACGCTCGAGTTTGCGCTGTTTCACCAATTGATCCCTTCTTTCCTTCTCCAACTGCTCTATTCGTCGCGAGTGAATGTCTTCGGGTCTCAATTTGGCCAACTCTTCGTCATCCATGTCCAGCAAATTGCCGGTCAGCGCGCCCTTCATCATAGAGATCTGGTCCTTTGCCATTTGTTTCTTGATTTCGAGGTCTTGTTTAGCTTTCATCTGTTGTTCCCTTTCCTTGATCTCTAACGCCATTTTGGCCTCTTCTTCGTCGCGGATCCGCCGCTGCTGTTCCTCCACTTTACGCCTCTCCTGTTCTTCTCTGGCGATACTAATTCTTTCCAAATCCTCTTTTCTCTGTTCAATAATACTCTGTCGACTCAACACCTGTTTGTGTTCATCGGCCCAATTCATACGGTAAGCCTTCATAATCTTGCGCTTCATCTCTTCCCTCTGGTTCTTGAGCCGATCGGGTTCTATCAGATTGCGAGCCTTCTGTAGCGTTGAATACATGCTAACCAATTGCTTTCGGATCTGTTCGCTGGGCATTGACTGCAAGTGCGGTCCTTCGATCACTTCCTCGCCGGTCGAGACACGCAATTCAGCGCCAAATATAAGGCAACCTCTCTTGTGATCAATGCGGACCTGGAGGTCGTTTCTTCGCGCCGCCTCCACAACCACTTTCTCCAAATACGTGAAGTTAGCGAAAGGGCAGAGCTCTAGGAGTCGCTTGAATTCAATCGTTTGGTAGACTTGAGACACTTCTTTCAATAAACGCATTGCCGTCACGTCTTTCAAGGCATTCGTGTATTGTTTGAGTTCCGGATATTCAGTGCTTTCGTTAATATAATCGATTACATGAAGGACTCGATTGCAGAGAACCAGTGGATGAAAATCGATTTCAAGACAGCGATACAACTCTTGGAGTTTGGGCGCCGCGTACTGAAGAACTCCCATACGTTTCAGGTCTTTGATCAGCGAACCTCTTGTGGGAACGCTTGTCGTCAAACCCAAAAGTGAGGCCAAATTTCGTTGGTGTCCTTCAATGACATTCTCTTCGGTGTCCACCAGTTTGTCGATCTCAGCCCTATTCGGAGGAATAGGTATGGCTAGAGTGGCGGTCACCACTTTGGTCGCCATCTTCTGAATGTCCTCTTGAGTGATATTTTTGCGCAACTCTTTGGACAAATGGAATAACCGGAAGAGAGCCGCCGAATGGAAGAGCGGACAGTTCGCCTTCCAGAAGACGAGCGCCAACTTCTGGTAGTAATTGGCCATCAGTTGAGGCTTTGGCGGCTTTTTGGTCAGATTCATGAGACCGAAGCGTTTGATATCATCGGTGGCTCTGTAGGCCTCCTGCCATAACTCCATCTGAATAGCGCAGTCCAACTGCACGAGTCGTGTCTCCAAATGCATGGCCTGACTCTCGGGTGCGTTCAGATTGATTTGGTTCTGCTGTTGGTGTCCTCCGACCTGTTGGTTGTTCTGCTGTTTCTTCAATATATCCAAATGGGTGTGAAGATTGTCACACAGTTTGCGGAACTCAGTCTTCCGGTTATAGTTAATACAGAAGCGGAAGGCCTGATGGGCCACGTCATGGTACAGGCGCTCAGTGCGCGAGTTGTTCTTCAACAGATCCAGACACTGACGGTACGACTCCCAGAGGAACTTCACCCACGGAATGAGCACAACTCGATCCGTGCGGTCCTGAGTGTCCTCATTGCTGACGGCGCTCAACAGTATGTCTTCGGGTGTCTGCGCGTTGTCCAAGTCGTCGACGTCGAGCACCGACTGTTTGCTCTCCTTCTGGGCGGCGGTGGCCTTCTCTTCGGCCATTTCCAGGTATTTGCGGACCACGTCTTCGAATGAGTTGATGTACGTCTGTTGACATATGATTTTATACTGATATATGCCTTCTTTGGCCACATATGACTTCTTCAGTTCGACACACAGTTCGAGGTATTTAATCATAATGTCTTCGTGTTTCTTCTGCCACGTCCTGTGTTTCCGCGACCGCAAGACATCGCACAGGATTTCCAACGCTCGCGGCTTTTTGCCCACATCTATGAACTCTGCAACACATCCAACAATACAACACTATTAGTCATACCATCACTACTACTATCACTACAACACATCCATGTGAGCGCCCATTGGAAACAATGGTAAGTCAACTAACCTTTGGCTCTCTTCAGAGCGTTCTCGAGTCGATGGAAATAAATGGGCATTTCGTGGATGTCTTCTAATTGTCTTCAATTGTATACAAAATGGTAATCAAATGGATGTGTTTATTGTCACAATAGCTGATCCCATACGGCATTCACAGCACAACTCTCTCTATAGAGAAATGGCATTCATTTTATGACACGTTTTCCTCTCTCTCTCACAATCTCTCTCTTCAAAAACGTCACCATTTGTTTGATCCCATTTTGTGGACGTAATTGTTGTCTGTATTTGCCATTCATTTGAGTCTATGTTTTGAGTGATTCAGCAAATCGTTGAATCAAATCAATTGTCGGATCAAACCATCGGTTGTTGGCCTCAAATTAGCGGACAATGGTTTTGGAGAGTACTATAATTTGGTGAGTGATCTGATCCACGGTATGGCGTTTGTGGCACTCATTCGGTGTATTGTCTTATAGTGTGGACAACAGTGAGTTCATGAGGAATGGAGACTTCGTGCCGACCCGTCTTCAGGCACAACAGGACGCCGTGTCGATGGTCTGCCACTCGAAGACCAGATCCAACCCGGAAAACAACGTGGGATTACTGACGATGTCGTCCACCCCTCAGGTGTTGACCACTTTGACCACAGATGTCGGGCGTATTCTCTCGAAACTACACGCCGTGGAACCGATGGGCGAAATCAATCTCATGACTGGCATAAGAGTCGCTCATTTGGCTCTAAAGCACAGACAGGGAAAGAACCATAAGATGCGAATCGTTGTCTTCGTCGGAAGTCCTGTTGATTCCGATGAGAAAGAGTTAATCAAATTAGCGAAACGTCTGAAGAAAGAGAAAGTGAACGTCGATGTCGTCAACTTTGGCGAAGAACAGCTCAACACCGATAAGTTGACCGCTTTTATCAAAGCACTTGAAGGCACGGCTTCTCATTTGGTGACTGTCCCGCCCGGACCTCATCTCTCGGACGCACTCATCAGTTCGCCTGTCATTCAGGGCGAAGACGGAACCGGAGCCGTCGGTATCGGCGGTTCGGGCTTTGAGTTTGGCATCGATCCCAACGAAGACCCGGAACTGGCGCTCGCTTTACGAGTATCGATGGAAGAGCAGAGACAACGACAGGCAGAAGTGGATCGAAGTCAGCCGCTGGTCGCTGGAGAGGACCCGAGCGCTAGTGGCAGCGCAGTTCCCGCCGCAACCACTGGCGGCCCGACCGTCAACACTGAAGAGGCACTCCTGGAGAAGGCTCTGGCGATGTCTTTGGAAACCGATGAGGAGAGGAACGCCGGTGTGAAGCCACCGGTGAGCGCCTCGTC